ATACTGTGAATCCCCCACCCATAAAAACTTCCTCTTTCATCTTGATTTGAAAATTAGATATGTACACCATCACTTATTATAGAAATTCTCTGCGTAGGACATTCGGATTTTGTTAGAAAATAAATTTTGTATCAACAAAAGATGAAAATACGTTGAAACGTTTCTATTATTGAAATTTTATCGACGGCTTATTGACACTATATCAATAATCTATTATGTCCAGAGAAAAACATGACCATAGAGAGTTAAATTCTTAATTATCATAGAGAGCCCATAGTGCTTTTCGGCGCTCCTCTATCATCAATAACGTGCCTGAATCAAGACCATGCACCAGTAGTCATGCAAATGTGACAAATAGATTGGCAAGCAAAGATCATGTAATGCAACATTTAGTTAACAAGTTTTGATGGGAAATAAAAGAATGAAGTTGGACAGTGGACCTAGATAGTATGTCTTGCCATATTCTTCACAAATCTTCCTGCATCTTTCATATGCTTCTTCAACAGAGTCAGGCTCCAACCGTGGTTTTCTGCGGCCGCCTTCTGTGGCCGTATTACACGTCTGAGACTGCCTCTGAATGATTTCTTGAACTTGTAAATCAGCAAAAGAGGGAATGACTTGTATCGATAATTCCGGGAAAACAGGCATGCTTATAAATTGCTTGGCAGCTCTTACCACTTCACCCCTTCTTGCTGAGACCATATATTTTCGTGGCGCAATTTTCCATTGCTGTCTCTCATGCATGCCTTTGTTGCAAGAAAAAAATGTTGAGCACATTGTACAATTACACTTCTTCTCAAAACTGTCGTGAATATATACAGATTGAAACATGAGATGGCTCTTAAACATAAAACCACATCGACACAACATCTTCTATACATTTTACTATTTAATTAAAAACTTTAAAATACTATAAATTAATCTTATCTGGTGAAGAAAGTAATATGATTATCTTTCCTCTTAATCACTTTTTCCTTCCCTCCCCATCTATTTAAACAATTATAATTAAGTCACGTTAATAATTTATATTTATTTTTTTATAAAAAGATAAGACAAAAGTAAAAATGTAAAAGAAGAGAAGGAAATGAGAGAAAATATAAGACCAACTCTAATGGTGAGCTAAAAGCCAAATTACCCTCCCAAAATCCCCCCCCCCCAAACTCAATCCAACCCAAGGGGAAATTTTGGGCCAAATGCTAAACCAAGACCAGATTTTCCCCAAAATTTAGCCCAGAAATCGGAATTTAAATTTTTTAATATTTATCGGAATTTAATTTTTTTTAGATTAAAATGTTCATAAAATTAATTTACGATGGTCTACATATTTATTTATTTATTTTTAAATTTAATTTAATAAAAAAAATAGCCTAAGTTCATTCTTTAATAATCTCGGGCTAAAATTTTAGTTTTTTTTAGATTAAAATGTTCATAAAATTAATTTACGATAGTCTACATATTTATTTATTTTTTTTAAATTTAATTTAATAAAAAAAATAGCCTAAGTTCATTCTTTAATAATCCCGGGCTAAAATTTTAAATCAAAACGGTTAGAGCAAAAAAATTATTTCTGAATTAAAAGCTAAATTTTCTGAACTAAAATATTTGACTTTTAGTTCAACGTGATGGTCTAATAGGAGAATCTTTTTCAAAATGCATATTTTACATATTTTACGTACTGTCTACCCAGTCATTGTCACAAAGTACTAGGTAGAATAAATTATACAAAATAGTAGTTGTAATGAAAAAACAGCAACGAAAATCTTGACAGGTGTGAAACAAAATCTTCATGGATGTGATCTGTCTTTATTTTATATTACTTGGAAAACGTGCTTACATTATATTTTCATTTTCCGATTGTATCAATTTAAATTACACAAAGCAAGTCTGGTTGAAATATGAGAAATGACTGCTACGTGACCTTATCAATATATATCCTGTTTTCTGCGTTCTGTTGAAGGAAAGGCGCACGACCGGCAAGATCATGCTGATCATGACGGTCCATTGCATACCAGGAAGAAGTTCACCATGCATGATATATATCCCTCAACGTGTGACTTGTAATTGAAACCTATATATATATATATATATATATATATAACTTTGATACAAAAAATAACGATCAAACTCATACTTCCTCACCTTCACTGACATGATTTTAGTGAGTTTAGGTACCGTTTGGTACGTGGAATGGGACAAAACAAAGTGGGACGAGACGTTCCATCATACGTTTGGTGCGCCTAAAACGGGTGGAACGCGCTGTTCCACGGGATGAGTTTTGGGTGAATTTTCATTCCACCTCACCCCCCTAGAACGACTCGTTCCACATCCGTGAAACACAAAGTTATAACCTCTCCGTCTCATTCTTCTTCCTCCTTGTTTCCATCCGAGGGCATCTTTGCCCCCTCTCCGTTCTGTCCCGTCCTGTCATGTCCCATTCCGTTCTGTCATGTTCCGTCTACATACCAAATGCTATCTTAAAGAACATTCTAGGCACTTAGCATAAACCCTAAATTGTCCCATTATTGCACAAAATGTAGCTACAACTTCACGAAATTGTCAGTATTTTTAGATGTGAGAGAAGTAATACGGTACCTGAAAGTCTTGAAATTTATATGAAAGAACAGATGTATGTTCTTGATTTATGAACATCTGGGCGTTTGTAGTCCAACGGTTAGGATAATTGCCTTCCAAGCAATAGACCCGGGTTCGACTCCCGGCAAACGCATCATTTATTTATTTATACTTTTTTCTATTTTTTATTTTATTTTGACTGAAACATAGAAAATAAAAGTTTAAAAATAGAAAACAAAAAGTGACGGAACAAAAAAAATTAAAAATCCCATTGTCATTTTTTTAATGAGTAATACTTGGATACTCACAAAACACAACCAATATATATATAATGAATTTTGTTTTGAATCAAAATACCTTACATAAATTTTTGAATAAATATCATTGGGATTTCCCAAAATTTGTTTATCTTTTCTGAAGTTTGGGGTGTGAGGTTTACAATTCAAACATCCATTTTCATGTTCAAGTTAGATAAGTTGGTAATGATAGTATTTCTGTCTCTTTGTGTTAAGGTTTTATCTAATGACACTCTATATTAGTTCATTTTATTATTTGTATTGGTCAGACTTGAACTAACAGTTATTAGTCTGTTCTAGTGGTTTTGGCTGTTAGTTTGTTAGGCCTCACATTGTGGTGGGGATTTTGGGATTCGCTTATATATTAGCAGTATTTGTGCTGAGCTCTACTCATGCGAACTGTAATCTCATCTTGTTAATAAGAACTGCAATCCTACACTAGGATTAAGGTACAACATGCTCTATTATTTTGTACTCAAGTTTGGATTCTCGTTTAACGACAACAACAAAACCTTATATTATTAAATGAAGTCAATTGTATGAATCTTAAAATATCATTATTATCGATTTTTCACTCTATTTCTCCCTTTACAAACAAGAAAATAAAATTAGTTATTTGTGTTCCACCTACCCACTTATAAATCGTAGTTACATTAAGAAGGGGAAACTTTAATCCAAAGAAAAGTTATGTCTCCTAGCTTTTTTCAATCATTCAGGATGGATATTGAGTTGGAAGAGGATTTTCTCTAGATTCACTTTGTGGGGATCCTAGGGTTCACATCCTAATCGTTCATCGTATATTGTGCGGTCAGTTTTCGTTAGAGTATATTTGCATTTAATTTTAAATAAAAAAGTCAAATAATTTCTGACCACAAAAAACACTATGAATGACTAAGATGTGATGATCATTAGGATCCCCACAAAATGAATCCGGATGGGATCCAATTTCTATTGACTCCGCCACCATGGACTAGAAGCCATTATAAAGGACAATAATAGGTGGAAAAATTTGCTAAATCCAACACAAAAAATACAAAAACAAATCATTCACTTGCCAAGGAAAGCATATCTTAATTCTCAACTTGCATGAATTATTGACTTTGTATTTTTATTTTTAATGGAATACACGAACGGCCTTGTATCAATCTATCATAGGCTCATGGCTCATGTGACATGTCAATCCCCACATGAACAATATGAAAAATGCATGCTTTGTTATATGCGTAAATTTGATATGGACCTTATTTCCCCAGTGAAAATATCAGCTGTCTTCTTTCTCTTTATGCAGACGGCAGCTGCCTTCTTTGACTGTAAACCCTAATAAGATTTGCTACAATATTTTGGTGCAAATTTTTTAGTACCACGATCAGCTTTTTTCGTGATTTGTTGATACACTTATTAATATATTATGAGCAGACAATAGAGTTGATGTATATAGGTTTTTAAGTATAAATGTTATTTTATACCACCCTGTAATCAAAAAATGAAAAAAATACATGATCGATGCAGTAGGTAAAGAAGAAAGGCCTAATCATTAGATAAATCCACCACTAATTACAATACAGTTGATAAAGGTAAAGCAGTTAATTAAAATTTGAGCACTTAAATAAAAAAACTAAAAATCAGCTCAGGTATAACGCTTTCTCTCGGTACTTGGTTATTGTATTTATGTAGTAAAGGGTGTGAAAATGATAGAATTCAGCTGGGAAAGTAAATCTTCCATATTGTCCTAATATTTAATTAATAAAATGTAGAATTTGTGCGGTTGAATCTAGTTATTTGTATTTTTAATGAGAAAGATACATGTATTATCCAATGAAAAAAGAATCCATGTATTAAATCTGAATAAACTAACATGGTGGTATTGTTTAGACATTTATTTTTACTTTTTATCTTCTTGTTAATTCTATCATTTTATATTTTTCAATTTATACGATCAGTCGAAAATTTATCCAATCTATCCACGAATTTGGATTTAGATAACATCCAGAATCTTACCTTATTAAGGTTCCCTCATCAGAATCCAACCGCATCCCTATTTGAATGACCCAAAATAATAATAATAAATAAATAAAAAAGATCCCCATTAGGACTCCACCTTCTTATATATATATTTTTTTTGGAAGCTATCTTCTTATAAGTTATATACAGGCCAAAGTCTTTTGACTCATCAAACTATCACACAAGCCACAAAACCAAGAGTCCGTTATGGAGCCTTCTCCTCCAAAAACTCCAGTGGTTCATCAAGACCTTCCCATCACCACCGCCGCAACCACCACAACCGCCGCCACAAACCGAAAGAAACTCACCCTCATCCCTCTTATCTTTCTCATCTACTTCGAAGTCGCCGGTGGCCCTTATGGGGAAGAGCCTGCAGTCAAAGCCGCCGGACCCCTTTTCGCCATTCTCGGCTTCCTCATCTTCCCATTCATCTGGAGTGTCCCGGAAGCTCTCATCACTGCCGAGCTCTCCACCGCCTTCCCAGGAAATGGTGGTTTTGTCATCTGGGCAGACCGCGCTTTCGGCCCTTTCTGGGGCTCTTTGATGGGAACCTGGAAGTTTCTCAGCGGCGTCATCAACATCGCAGCATTTCCGGTTCTTTGCATTGATTACATGGACAAGATAATCCCTGCTTTCGAATCCGGTTGGCCTAGGTATCTTGCAATCTCTGTTTCAACTCTGATTCTTTCTTTCGTAAACTATACCGGTTTAACTATTGTTGGATATGCTGCTGTTCTTCTCGCTATCGCTTCGCTTTCACCTTTTATTTTGATGTGTTTGATTGCCATTCCGAAGATCCATCCTCACCGTTGGTTGAGTCTCGGGCAGAAGGGTGTGAAGAAAGATTGGAACTTGTTCTTCAACACCCTCTTTTGGAATTTAAATTTTTGGGACAACGTGAGTACTTTAGCTGGGGAAGTAGATAACCCCCAGAAAACTTTTCCGGTGGCTCTTTTCGTGGCGGTGATCTTTACTTGCTTGGCGTACTTGTTCCCACTTTTCGCTGTGATTGGTTCGGTTAATGTGGATCAAACTAGATGGGGTTCTGGATTTCATGCCGAGGCTGCTGAAATGATCGCTGGAAAATGGTTGAAGTATTGGATTGAAGTTGGTGCAGTATTATCAGGGATTGGACTTTTCGAAGCACAACTAAGCAGTTGTGGTTACCAACTTCTCGGTATGGCGGATATAGGGTTCTTGCCTAAGTTTTTCGCTCTTCGGTCCAAGAGGTTTAACACCCCGTGGGTCGGAATTGTACTTTCCACAGTGATCACTCTTGGAGTTTCCTTCATGAACTTTACAGATATTGTTTCATCTGCAAATTTCTTGTATAGTTTGGGAATGCTATTGGAATTTTCAGCTTTTCTTTGGTTGAGGAGGAAGTCGCCGACATTGAAGAGGCCTTTTCGTGTTCCGATGAGGATGCCTGGTTTGGTGATCATGTGCTTGATTCCATCTGGGTTTTTGGTCTTTATCATGGCTATTGCTACCAAGACTGTGTACTTGATCAGCGGTTTGATGACCGTGGCGGGGATCGGATGGTACTTTTTAATGAAATTTTGCAAGTCGAAGAAATTTTGTGTGTTCAGTACCATGGAAGTTGAAGAAGGATGACATCCAGAAATTGCTTGTTAGACTGTTAGTTGTGAACCATTTCGAATGGCATGGAATAGGGAAGATTTTACGTGATTGAATCTCTTTCTTGATGAAGAAGTCGAGATTTGATTGATCAAAGTAGACTTTGTTTATATTCAGTTCTATTCAAGTCGAAGGAAAATGTCGAATGACATGAAGTTGTATGGTTTTGCTGCTGTAACTTGTTTCGATCTTATGATATTTTCTCAAGTAAATTATAAACATACAACACTCTGTTCATGGAACTCTACTATTTTCTGCCCCTATTCCACCCTCTCGCCTGCTGTCGAACACGATTCACAGTTCACGCACAATTTTTTCGGCATATTGGTACCGTGTCTGACATGAACATAGGTTTTTCACTCTTCATTTTAACTCAATATGCCATACTAGTGGGAAAAATACTCGGCTCCTTACCAGTACAAAGTATTTCCTCGATATGCACAACTCATAATTTGATATACATTTGCAAGAACTCATCTTTGAGGTTTTAGTGAGTCGTTTCAGTATTTCTCTATGAGGTTTTAGTAAGTCGCTTCAGCATTCGTATGAACATTTTCTGTTTATAGGCAACTCAGTTTGAAACGTGTGAACTCTTCATTTTGTGTTTTGAGTGAGTCACTTCAATATATGTGTCTGTTCGTGAAATTAAGGCGAAATGGCTTCTTACAGGTAAGGAACCAAACAATGTTCATACCGAACTACGAGATGAAAGGCTCAAACATTGGTACCATTCTATTGTTAAAATTAACAAGAACAGAAAAAATCATATATAAAATTTCCTTAAGAAAACCAGATGTACACAATCATAAACATTAAACGGCCTAGTTTCATTCCTCGTAGTCCAATTTTTTTTCACCCAAATTGAACTCAAACCACATCTTTGATTTGCTGAGATTCATCAAAAAGTACCAGCCAACACCAAAAAGAGTCATCAATGCACTAACCAAATAAACAGCTTTGGTGCCGACAGCCAAAACATACACCAAAAACACAGATGGAATGAAGCACATAACCACCAACCCTAGCAATCCCATTGGAACTTTGAATGGCCTCTTCAGAGCTGGAAATTTCACTCTCAACCAGATAAAAGAAGCAAATTCCAACAGCATTCCCAAACTGTACAAGAAATTTGCAGAAGATATGATGTCTGTGAAATCCAAGTAAGAAACAGCAAGCGCAATCACAGTTGAAATCAGAATCCCTAGCCAAGGGGTGTTGAACCATTTGGACCGTGCCCCGAAAATCTTCGGTAAGAACCCCAAGTTTGCCATACCCAAAAGCTGGTATGCACAGCTGCTCAATTGTGCCTCAAAAAGTCCAATAATAGATAAAACCGCACCAATTTCAATCCAGAATTTCAACCATTTCCCAGCAATCATTTCTCCAGCAGAAGCTAAATACCCATCAACCCAACTTTCTTGGTCAAGTGGAATAGCCCCAGTTGCAGCCAGGAGAGGGATTATGTAGCCCAAACATGTGAGAATCCCAGCTGAGAAAAGTGCTTTTGGGAAAAGCTTTTGGGGTTGCTCTACTTCTCCAGCTAGAGTACTAGCATTGTCCCAAAAATTCAAGTTCCAAAATAGGGTGTTGATAAATAAAGTCCAATCTTTTTTCACACCCTTTTCACCCAAACTGATCCATCTGCTCGGATGAATTTTTGGAATTGCAATCAAAGACATCAAGATAAAGGGGCAAAGTGAAACAATTCCTAAACCTACTGCAGTGTATCCAACAATGCTCAAACCAGAGTAGTTGAGAAAAGATAGAACTAAAGTAGAGATAAATATGGCGAAAAATCGCGGTAAGCCGGAAGCAAAAATGGGGATTACCAGCTTGAGATAGTCCACAAAGAATTGGGTATGAAGCTAAGTTGATGACACCACTGAGGAATTTCCAAGATCCCATGAGGGATCCCCAGAAGGGGCCAAATGCCTGGTGTGCCCAGATGACGAAACCGCCATTTCCGGGGAAGGTGGTGGAGAGCTCGGCGGTGACAAGGGCCTCAGGGATGCTCCAAATGAAGGGGAAGATGAGGAAGCCAAGGATGGCAAAGAGAGGGCCAGCTGCCCCCACAGCTGATTCTTCACCATAGGGACCTCCAGAGACTTCAAAGTAGATGAGGAAGACTAGTGGGAGAAGGGCTAGTTTCTTGGGGTTTTGGGGGCTGATTTGGGGTTGTGATTCGGCTTCTTGTTGTTCAAGAAGGGATTGGGAAATTTGGGAGCTTGGAGAAGATTCTGAGGCTCTCATGCTGAGCCTCTCAACTGTTGGGAATTAATCAGATTCAATGATCGTATATTTCAGATGGGGTTTTGATGGTTTGGCATTCTGTTGGTTGGATCAGGATCATTTCGTTTCCTTACAAATAGGAGATTTTTAAAAAATTATAATAATTATAATCGTTGAATTTTGATTTAATAGATCGTGTGATTTGCCTCAGCTTCCTAAGCTCAAGAGATGATCCTAATCCCGGTTGGTGGGTCTTGGTGGACCCCAATATTTGAAAAGTGGTTGGGTAAAATCATATGAAGGGAATTGCCATTGATCATGTGGCCAATACTATATATGCATGTGTATATATTTGACATTTCAGTTGTTAATTATTGAACGGCACTTCATTTCTTGTTAAAGTACTGTTTGGGTCTGAAATCCATTTTTCGGCCGAGTTGTTAGAAGTCGGCCCAGAAGGGAGACTGCGGGTGTCGGCCTTAGAGCAATTCCACCCCATTCCAAATGTCCCACCCCCAGTCCAAAAATCAAACTAATCCTCAGTCCATTTGCTCCACCCCACAAAGCTGACTGGCACCCAGCCCAAGCCAGGCGCCAGCCCAGCCTGTTTCGGACAGACCCAGGAACTGGGCAAAATACACGGCGCGTGCACGACACGCGGGAGCTGAGGCGAGTAGCCGACAAGGAAAAGGTGGGGCTGTCAGCCCACTTGTGTCCCGTCCCAGGCAATCTCTGAGCCGTTGGATTTCCAATGGCTAGTTTATCTAGACCGTTGGATTTCCAACGGTAAAAAAAATTAAAAAATTAGTTTTAAAATGGACCGTTTGATCACAGATCAACGGTCCACGTTTTAGACGAAAAAAAAATTAAATAAAAGGCCCCAACGGTCAGATTTTTTACCGTTGGCCACGTGGCGTGATCTTAGCTATTGGATTTGAATTTTTTTCAAATCCAACGGTCCAGATTAATTAACTAAATTAAAATTTATTATAAATTATTAAAAAATACATAAAATTTTTAAAAAATACAGAAAAATTTTAAAAAATTTATATTTTTTTCCTATAAATATCTAACCCTCATCTTCCACCTTTACACCACATTACAATATTTTCTACACTTTCTACACTTTCTACATATCAATATTTTCTACAATTTGAGAGAAAAAAATGTCTTCGTAGAAGCTTATTGAAGATGTTACGTTGTGTGAATGTTGGGTTCACACTACTCATGATCCGATTACGGGTAATGAGATGGATAAGCGAGAGATGTGGAGTAAAATTACGAAAGCGTTTTGTGATGTATCCACAAAATAGTACGTTCGGATAATATTATCGAAATCTTGGCTAAATTATTGTAAACCGGAAGTGACACGTGGCGTGTCAGGATTGGTCGAGAATATTATCGAAAATCTATCCACAAAATAGTACGTTCGGATAATGACATGTGGCATGACGTGATTGGTTGAAAATCTTATCGAAATCTTGGCTAAATTATTGTACCATGGAAGTGACACGTGGCGTGTCGGGATTGGTTGAAAATAATATCGGAAATCTATTCACAAAATAGTACGTTCAGATAATGACACGTGGCGTGACGAGATTGGTTAAAAATCCTATCCGAAATTAAAACTATTTTATTTTTTTATTCTTTATTTTAAATGGGTTAAAAATCTTATCCGAAATAAACTTAAAAAAAAAACACACCAAATAAATGCGCTGGGTGCCAGCGCATTTTTTTAGGGGTGGAGATGCCTTGGCCTATTACTGTTCACTCCAGTCTATTACTGTTCATTTGAGTGGATAAATGCGCTGGGTGCTGGCGCAAAGTCCACAGGGGTGGAATTGCTCTTATAGTGTAGTGGTGATGGAGTGGTCCTAGACGAAATAGGGCTATTTGAGGATCATAATTTGCTTCTTGATGAGATTTGAATTAATTGCTAAAGGATCATGATTGAATCTTTGGGTTTTTTTTTTGGTTGAAAAAGGGTGCTAACACAAAAGCCCAAACAAAACTAATCAATAATAAGTCTATACTGAGACCTTCCGAGACGATCCTCAAAAAAACTATTGAACAAGAAGGAGGATTGTTAAAGTAAAAATTGTCTAAATCCAAATCAAGACTATAGGTCACTAAACTATCTGCCACAAATTTCATTCTCTATATACATGTCGAAGTTTCGTATTGCCAAGATCTTGAAAGCAACTCTCGATAGGCCAAGGAACCAAATAATAATTATTGCCAATAGCTTGCAGCACCAAATTAACTGTGAGTGTAGATTCTGAATCCACCAATAACTTATCAATCTGTAATCTCCATGGCAATTGTAATCCCAAATAAAGCTCTCATTCCTTAGTAGTGAGAATCTCACATTTGCCCAAAATTGGCGCAAAACCCAAAAATCCACTTACCATAAGAATCTCTTAAAGCACCACTTGCTCTAAGAGAATTATTATTTGGGTCAAGCATCTTCACAAGGGGGAGTAATGGTCATAAACATTTACAGTCTTGAATAATAATCTAGTAAGCTAAACATGCAAGCGTTTGTAGTCCAACGGTTAGGATAATTGCCTTCCAAGCAATAGACCCGGGTTCGACTCCCGGCAAACGCATTTTTTTTTCTCTATTGTTTTTCTAATTTTTTTATTTTTTATTCAGGGTTCATGAATTACGCACCATTCACATAAACCATATCATCCAAATGAAGCACCTAATTGATTCCAAGGGAACCGCTCCAACAAAATGAATATGCAGATAGTCTCTGCTTACAAATACTCCTTCAATTTTTCTTTTCTTTAATTAAATAACAACATCTTTCAAACCTTGGTACTTTAGTTGGAGAAGTATACAATTCATACAAACCTATTCCTTCTCTCTGTTTGATCAGAGAAAGTTTCAGATCAACAATTTTAAATCTGTTAAATTTAGGGAAGGGGGCTTGCAGTTTCGTACACGAAAAATATGTAAGATAATTTTAGGAATCTAAAGTTACTTTCGTTGTTTAGGAGCTGAAGAAATTTCCAAGAAAGAAGCTGCATTATCAGTACAAGAAGAGTGACACAAAAGTGAAGGGAGGTCGGAGTTTGTATCTATATGTTTTATTACATATCAGAGTTTTTGTTGCCACATGAAATTTAGTTAACTAGCTGCTGAATCTACTTTGTAATGTACATGTGCATGAAAGTTGTAGCCTTCTGCTGAATTGCATATAGTTTACGTTATAAACTACCATTTTCTTGAGAAAAATTTGGGTGTCACCGGAAATATATCACTCGTCATCCTGTTGCACTCATCACATCCCCCGTCACTTGTAAAAATTAATCTTTGCCCCCTTCTCACATGTGACAACAATATGTACTGGTATAAGCAATTTCCAGGAAGCAGCACACTTTGTACAACACTACAAGGAAGCAGCAGAAGAGTTGAGAAATTCTAGTAGTGATATTAATTGCATACATTTAGACAGTATTTGTTGCATATGCTTCATGAACCAAGTTATATATATCCAATGAACTAGGAAGCAAAGGCAACCAGCCTTTCTCCATCTACAATCTTGGAATCCAATCACATAACTCCTGAAGTTCACATTGAAAATCCAAGAAATCCCAAAAGGAGAAAAAAGAACACACCATGAAATCCCCCCAATCTTCTCCGAAATCGAAAACCGCTCTTCTCGATAATGAAAAGGAGGAAGTACAAGAACCTCCAATGTTTAGCACCACCAAGAACAAATGCCAAAAACTAGCATTCATCCCACTAGTTTTCCTCATTTACTTTCAAATCTCCGGCGGCCCCTATAACACTGAGTCCACTGTAGGTTCCGGGGGGCCTTTCAATGCCATCCTTGGCTTTCTCCTCTTCCCCATCATCTGGAGCATCCCTGAGGCCCTTGTCACTGCTGAGCTAGCCAGCACCTTTCGTGGCAATGGCGGCTTTGTTATATGGACTCACCAAGCCTTTGGTCCATTTTGGGGCTTCCTCATTGGTTTCTGGAAGTTCTTTAGTGCTGTCATTAACTTATCTTCCTACCCAGGTCTCTGCATAGATTACATTGATCCAATGCTACCAACTTTGTTGTCACACTTGCCTCACTATTTACTCATCTCTCTTTCAACCCTCTTACTCTCAGTTTTTAACTTCATTGGTCTGCCTACAGTTGGCTATGCCGCAATATCTTTAGGGATTTTATCATACTTGCCATTTATAGTAATTTCTGTTTGTGCAATTCCCCAAATTGACCCTAGCAAATGGGTTTCTTCTGGCCAGATTAGCAGAAAAAGAAATTGGCCATCGTTTTTTAATTCGTTATTTTGGAACTTAAATTGTTGGGACAATGTTAGTACTTTAGTTGGGGAAGGTGTTAAAAACCCCCCCAAAACATTACCAAAAGCATTTCTCGCAGCTGGGTTGTTGACTTATTTGACTTCCCTAATACCTCTACTAGCTGCAATTGGTGCCATGTCTCTTGACCTAGATGATTGGAATGATGGGTTTTACACAGTTGTGGCATATAAAATTGTGGGGAAAAGGTTCGCAAAATGGGTTAGGGTTGGAGCCTTTTTGTCTGGCATTGGTGTCTATCAGTCCCAATTGAGCAGTTGTTCACACCAGCTTTTAGGCATGGCTGAATTAGGGTTGTTGCCTGGACTTTTTGGGGCGCGGTCAAAATTGTCCGGCACTCCTTGGGTGGGAATTTTGATATCAGCAGTGATATCAATCTTGGTTTCATACATGAATTTTAAGCATGTCACATCTTTAGTGAATGTCTTGTTCAGTTTGAGCATGCTAGTCGAATTTTCGGCTTTTATATGGTTGAGGGTGAAGCTTCCGGATTTACAGAGGCCCTTCAAACTTCCAGTTACAAGGCTGAGAGGGCTGATAGCAGTGCTCTTTATTCCGTTTGGAATTTTGGTGTATATAACTTGTGTTGGCACAAAAGTTGTGTACTTGGTGATTGCTTTGCTGACCGTGTTTGGGATCATTTCGTACTTCTCCATGAAGATTTTCCAGGCTAAGATGTGGCTTGGCTTCAACCATGTTGTGGCAAAACTAGCAGATTATGAAGATTTGGGGTGAGTTTATAATTAAATTGGCGTTTTTCAAACGTATATAGAATTTTATATACACAAAATTTCAATCAAAATAAAACTTTTTCTCCAAAGGGTTCAGGTTTTATGCTGGTGCTGATTCCATTTTTGTCGTTTGGGTGATCTTGCAGCTACTATGGCCAATTTATGAAGAAGTGATGCAAATATTCAATATATCAAGAACGGAGCTGACTGGTTGTACATTTTACGCATCCCTGTCAACTTGATAATTTATTAAAATAATAATGTAAATTTGTGTTATGATTAAGCTATCAATATATAAGGTGTTTATTAATTTTGTTTTTGTTTACGATCAACTGTCAACTGTGCTTAGAATGCATAAATTATAGACATAATAACTAGAACGTTCAGGATTTTTTTAATAAGCATCTTTATGGCCGATCAAATCGACCGATTCATTCCAATCTAAACAAAATAATTTAGTTGTTGTTTGTTTGGATTAGATTAATCACCGAAAAATCGACTTGATGTGATTGGTTTCTCAAAGAAAGTTGAAGAAATAGTGTTCCTCAGTATTATACATTGTGATCATGGGTTGAAAGAATTGGCTATAACAGAAATATTGAGTATTCATACTTGAGAAAATGGAGTTTAATTTGGCCTTGCTTTCAACTCAAGAGTCGCACACCAAATTAGACTTATCAGTAATTATAATTATGAATAATTATGTGAGGCTGTTTCTTTCAACCAGACCGAACTCTGAGCATATAAATTCGAGGCTAGAGAGAAAAACAGAAAGTTCTCCGTCACTGGTTCCTGCTATTGTCGTTTTTGGGGTCGGAAGCAATCCCTCTTGACATATTCCCATCTTTATTGATACTATATCTTAACTATCTTCATTTGATGTTTGTGCTCAATTTATCACTTTATTGAGAAGAGCCTTTATAATTTGTGCCCTTAGAAAAATCCATCACATACTCCCATGTTTTAAACGGTTTTTAGGCGGTTTTGCAAAATTGTTCAAACATATTCATAAAATTGATATATTTTCACCTTTACAAACTATAATGTTTTGAAAGTTCATGTAAGACCTTTTGTTGATATTCTTATGGATGAAATTCTGTTTTTCAGCAATGTTTTTGGGCTCATGACTACTATTTTCGTCAATTTATTTTTCATTTTTTGGCTCATGTGTTTTATTAAGCATACATTTGTGGGTCAACAAATGTTAAAATAGTTTTCAATTGCCTCGTAAAGTTTTATTTTATTTTATTTTAAATATGACGAAAAATATTTCGCAAAAATAAAAAATTAACATTTTTCTCAAATTTTCAATAAACGTGGTTTACCCATCATAGTTTTTAGGCAATTTTGCAAACTTGTTCAAAAATCGCCACACCTTCACCACACCAATTTATGTTAAGACTTTTCGTTGATATTCTTAAGTATGGAGTCTTATTTTGTCAATGTTTTGGACCCACTACTATTTTTGCACTCACTTTTCAGTGTTCGGTTTAAATATTTTATTGAAAATACATATGTGGCTTAATAAATGGTAAATGTAACATCCAACATCGACCAATGGAGAGGGGGTGATATGCCTTATATGTATACTCCCCTCCCTATAACACAAGGCCTTTTGGGAACTCACTGGTTTCAGATTCCATCAGAACTCCGAAGTTAAGTGAGTTTGGGCCAGAGCAATCCCATGATGGGTGACCCACTAAGAAGTTCTCATATGAGTTCCCAGAAACAAAACCGTGAGGGCATAGTCGGGGCCCAAAGTGGACAATATCGTGCTACGGCGGAGCCGGTCTGGGATGTGATAGTAAAACTATTTTCAATTGCCCTATAAAGTTATTCTTAATCATGACAAAAAAATTTAGCAAAAAATAAAAGTGGCTTTGCATAATTGTACAAATAAAAAAAATATTAAAGAGGTTTTGTCCATTTATTTTTCAAATTTTGGCCCAAATATGTTATAAATATACTTTGTGGCTAAATAAATGATAAAAACGCGTTCAAATGTCTTATAAAGTTTTTTCTGAAACATGATTGAAAATATATATTTTTCTCAAAAAATATGGGCTAACCATCGAGTTTTTAGGCGGTTTTGCAAAATTGTTAAAAAAATTGTTATAAAATCTATATGCATTCACCTTTGTTGCACCGTGAGGTTCTGAAAATTAGTGTATGACATTTTGTTGATATTCTTGAGTATGGAGTCCTATTTCGTCAATGTTTTGGAGTTCATTACTGTTTTATCCATTTATTTTTCAGTTTTTAGCTTAAATATTATTATATATGTGTCGCTCAGTAAATGATAAAACTTACGCTATAAAGTTACTTTTTATCATGAAGGAAAAGATTTAGCAAAAATAAAAGATCTTAATTTTTTTTCAATAAAGTGGGCTAACTATAAGCATGAAACTCAATGTTTATTGCAGATGATCACTAATAGCTATTTTTTATGAGTTTTTAATTACAAAATTGTGTTCTTTCCGGCCTTTAGAAGGGGTGGATAACTATGACTTGGCACCAGTTGTCCCTTTTTTTGAATATTTTTTTTTTTTGTTACAGATATATTTCTTTTGGCAATGACCCCTTGATAAACACAGGTTCATCATTAATATTATCGATATTGTTCTTACTTAATCACATATCATTAAGTGTAAAGTTTTATCATAAAAGGCTTCAATGATATCAAGGATAAAATCACATATATAAGTTATATTTTGTTACATGCCTACTGCAGATTCTATTCTCCAATATTTCTTAAGTAATTCTATCTTTTCAATAAACCCTATCTTAATTCTTTAGCCATTAAGCACATGCGATCAACATCGTTGGGCTTGTCAAGAGAAAGTAGTATTACATTTCACTTTCATTAACCAAAAATATTTGCAAATTGCACGTTACCATCATATCAACTTCTTGCAGCTTGAGATACGATAAACTTGCAATATAAAAACTCAATAACTCGCCACTTGGCATGGAAAAATCAGCACTGTCCAATCCAAGGTCGCAATCAAGAAATAACTAATACACCTATTTGTTGGAAAATATTAGTATTTTAGTTTATTTGAATGTTTGATTTTATGGGCTTAGCCCGTTAGAATTAGGTTTTGTTAGAGATTATGGTTAGTTTATTATAAATGGGGTGCTTTGTTATTCATTAGAGAACAAGTCAGTCAAGATGTAGCCTCTTCAGTTTATGTAGCCTTCTTGGCAATTCAATTTAATAAAGTTTTATATTCAGTTTGTTCGTTTATTCGTTGCGCACTCTGATATTCAACTTTATTTGTCGATTTGTTCATTGAATTTGTATAGAGTTTGACAAATTTTTTTACAAACTTTAATTTCAGTTGATTTTCTCCCCTAAACTATTATGTATAGCCACTTTCCCTTTACATTAGATTTAAAAAAAAATTCATCCAATTTTCGATCTATTTTGATTACGTGAACATCACATTATAATTGTATACGTACAAAAAGGTAATTTGGTTTAGTAAATTGAACACAAAACAAATACTTTGCACTTGCTAATTGGAGTTGCATGGCTAATTCAAAAAAAATTGTTTACGGAGTCCACTATTTGAAGAGAAGAAGAAGAAAAAGCTGCACATTAAGATAAAATTACTTTGTTGCCTCAAGTATTCGCCATGATACCAAAATGAATAAAAATTAGATTGAATTTGTTAAAATTAAAATCCAAGAAAAAATTAACTACTTCTTACAATTTTCGAAAAGAAATCAACAGATTCTCTAACGAATAATCGAAACTCATCCTCATCCTCTTAAAAAAATATCCTCTATAATTGAATTCTATACACACATCCAATGTATATCCACTTATCCCCACGTGGCAGGCCGATTTCACACCCCGATCAAGATTGTTAAATACATGTCACGTGTGATAGGGCCCACTTTATGTCATGTCAAATTGTCTATGAACGGTAGAGATTTTTGAATGTGACCGATACAAAGAATGATACACCACGTCTTATCATGTAAATAGTGGGATATGTGTGCTAAAATGTTAATAACTTAAAAAATAAAATTTTTCATCACTCGTATTAAAATACGTGGTATACCACTTATGTTCTCATCACAACTAAAAATAAATTTCTTTATGAACTGACTTTTCCCCAATCTCATGCTCAGTTGTCCATCCCCTTGAATTTGGTCGCATTTTGCGACACTGTCACCCTCTTCCTTTTCGGCCCTTATCCCTAACTCCTTGCCTTTTTCCAATCAATCGAGTAAATATTGTAGGGTATTGAAACGATCATGCAAAATAATTATTGTTTCACTCGGACCCTTATCCAACTTGAATGTAACGTTTTCATAAACTAGTAGAAATTATATGGGGCCGCCGTCCATTTTTAATATTTGTTTTGAAGGAAAAAAATAGTAACATTCGGCGTCCAATCCGAAACTAGATGACTTCGAACACGACACCAATGCAACCCGTTTCATTTCTACTGTTTCCACCATCTCTAACTGTTTCTATAAATACTTAGTCCATGGCCTACGACGCAAATGCAAATACACTTCACTCCAAAAGCAAAATCCAATCACTTCTTCGGTAGCTGCAAAGCAACACACTTCGTTTTTTCGGCAAAAATCCCTTCTTCCTTAGCTGCAAAAAGCACTTCTTGCTCTGCTTTGCTGCAAAATTAAGCGCGCATCTCTGCTAAAATGTGGAGTATCGAGCTGACCGATTTTATTCCGGGTTTGCCTGCAGAACTGGGACTCGAGTGCCTGACTTGGTTGCCCTACACAGCTCACCCAGTTGCCTCCCGGGTCTGCCGTCCATGGCGGACTCTCTTAGAAAGTCAAGATTTTTACTTTCACAGGAAGAAAACCGGACGTACCTACAAGGTTGCATGCTTGGTTCAAGCTCTTCCTCCAAAGCTTGTTGCATCAGAATCTGACGTACCCAAATCCACCGAGTCACCGGCCTACGGAATCACTGTGTTTGACCGGGCCAGTCGCTCGTGGGATAGACTCGACCCGGTTTCTGAGTACCCAAATGGGCTGCCCTTGTTTTGCCAATTGGCAAGTTGTGAAGGGAAGCTTGTGATCATGGGCGGTTGGGACCCGGTGAGTTACGACCCGGTCACCGACGTGTTTGTGTACGACTTCGCTACTTCCCATTGGAGGAAGGCCAACGACATGCCGTCCAAACGCTCTTTCTTCGCTATCGGATCGGACGCGGGCCAGGTGTACGTGGCGGGCGGGCATGACGAGAACAAGAACGCCTTGAAGTCAGCATGGGTTTATGATGTGAGATCGGACGAGTGGACTGAGTTGACTCCGATGAGTCATGATCGGGACGAGTGTGAAGGAGTGGTGATTGGGAGCGAGTTTTGGGTGGTTAGCGGCTACCGCACCGAGAGTCAAGGAGTGTTCGAGGGAGGTGCCGAGGTGTTGGAGTTGGGATCACGGCAGTGGCGGCTTGTGGACGAGGCGTGGGAGGCGGGGCATTGTCCAAGGCATTGTGTTGGAGTAGGGGACGATGGGAAATTGGTGAGTTGGGGTAAGTTGGACTCGGGGGTCCGAGTTGGAACGTGCGGAGTCATGCTTGGGGGTGGGACCCTGGTGGTGGGGTCGGAGTGCCAAGGGGCAAGTCAAGGGTTCTATATGGTGGAAGAAATGAAGGGACGTCAAAACGGTAAATTAGATAGTATTAGTGTGCCCGATGAGTTTTCAGGGTTTGTTCAATCAGGTTGCTGCGTTGAGATTTAGATATTAATTAATAAGGACATGTGTTGAGAGTATATGTATGATTTTTGGGTGCAATCTTTTCTATTTAATGATATGTGTAACATGTAGTTTCTTTGTCTTATATTGTGATATTACTGTAACGTCACATGCAACATACATACAAATTACGTATGCCCTTTTTAAGTGTCCCTTCGTTTGGGTAAATAGGCACTTGCACACATCACACTATAAATAATTATGCTAGATTCAATAGTTTGACTCACGCTATTGGAGAAAAGTTTACATACAACTTGAAACATAGACATGAAATATCGTTATTTTAAAATATTTGTTAGTTTAACATTTTATATTGCGTGTAAGTTTATATCTCGTGGGATTACAGTTGACCCTTCTTATGATTTGAAAGAGTTTACATGCATTTGATGAAATGCAAAACTTGAGATATCGTTATTTTAAAATATTTGTTAGTTTAACATTTTATATTGCGTGTAAGTTTATATCTCGTGGGATTACAGTTGACCCTTCTTATGATTTGAAAGAGTTTACATGCATTTGATGAAATACAAAACTTGAGATGGCCCCGAGATAGCATCCTATTGTCCTAGTTACGCGTGAGAGTTTCTATCCTACGGTTCTCTATAATCCTTTTGCGAACGATGAAATTCACATGCACCTGAAATGCAAATTAGTTGTCCTAATTGCGTGTAATATTTTATGATGGTGTTGTCTGTTAGCCCTTACACATGGCTCACAATGCGTTGACGGCTCAAGGTCGGCACCGACAAACATCCTACCATCAAATGATATGGGGGCAATGATTCATTTAAATAAAAATTGAAGGGGTATATGTACATGCATGCCTGCGTAGGTAACCTGGGGAAGGTGAACTGTATCTTGTTTGGCATATGGCTTTTCTTACAGAGATTCTTTCATTTTGCATGCAGATTTTTTGAGCATGCGGATTTATAAGTTTGTCTCCTATTTTATGTGTAATTTCTATTTTATCTATTTTTTTTTTTAACATTTTTACCTTTTAAATTTATTTTAGGGGTGTAGTTCTATATATGTCTTCTCTTTTTATTGTATTTTTTAAAGAGGAATAAGGTTTATGTTCTTCTTTTTTCTTATTATTTGGTTTCTTACTTTACGAGAAGTAATATTGATGTCCTCTGATCAGGTGTGAAATTCCCGAGCTAAAGAAATGTGGGAAGATGGACTTGATCCGACCAGAATATAATTTAAAATATAGGTGGACTGGGAGGATTGGAGTGAACATGGGTTGAGGTTGTGTAGCCTAAAAGTTGAGAGTTCGTAGATTTGAGAGGGCAACTCAACAGTGTTCCTGTATACCTAAACACTGCCCTATTATTTCCATGACAGAAGAAAAAAAGGAACAGAAAATTATTAGGGGGAATAGACATCACCTCATATATAAAACTAATTTTATTTAGTCAAATATAACTAATCATGCTGTTGATCACTTGAAATTATTTACGTTAGAGATATAGTCAGCAACATAATCGATTTTGTTTGTCTAAATACTCTATATGTAGTGCACAATGTTCGACTCCTTTATAACTAATTAGATAACTCAAAGCTTGGGATGAAAAAGAACGAGGTCCCCTAGGAAAGGTGACACCCGAGGCCGGATCAAACAAAAAGAAAAGAGACAAACAAAAGATTTGGATGTTAATTTGTATTGTCAACCTTAGGTAACTTATGACTCGTTTACTAATCCGTAATCAGAATGAGAGAATTGAATAAATTTAAGTTCACATTTAAGCATATGAAGAGGTTCAAGTATGTCTATGAGAGGAATTGAACCTCCAACAGTTCTTTTAACTATATCTCCATATCTCCTAAGTTGCAGGCGATTCAAAAACATCGATAAGTTCATATTTAAGCATATCAAGAGGTTCAAGTACTGAAAGACATGTAGTTCTAATCGTACCGTTCCATTGTATATTGGCATTCCCTTGAAGTAAACCTTTTCATGAGCAGCATTTGGCAGTCTGTCAGCCACTCCCGTTAATAGCGGAAACAAACTCACTTCCCCGACACAAGCTTGCTCTTCTGGCTGCATGATCAAGGAGATCAAAGATATTGACATACAATATATTAACCTAATAACATCAATGAGTTGACTTCGTTCCTTGATGTTTTTTCTTATTATCTTTGCCGGCCTGTTACCCGTCACCAGAGAAAAACATATCCCGGAACTAGCATGATGTAAACGAGTGACAGGTAGGTAATTGCAGTTGTTAAAGGAATTGAACCATAATTAGAAACTAGCTAATCATGTGCTTACATAAGGAATTCCATGTTCATCAAAGATGACAAAGCCTGTTTTCATGGACTTTGTGCTAAATGCTCCAAAAGCTTGCGGCTGCAGCAGACTTCCCATGATGTAGGACGAAGCAAGCTCTGTGCCCCAACAGCATTCAATGACAGGTCTATAATAAGTGCGGGAAGCGAGCCAAAGGTCATCATCAACGCTAGACGCTTCACCAGTGGAAGAAAATGATCTGCATACTTTGATGGTTAAGTCCATTTTCTCGGTGTTCATGTAAATAAATCACTCTGAAGTTTAAATAAAAAGATTATCCTTGCCCAATCTAGGCCTTTTATACACTGTACTCTTCCAAGCTTTTACTAAGCTAGGAACTGTTCCCAATATAGTGACTCCTGAATCCTGAAAAGATACAATAGATGAAAGTAAGGAGGCATTTCGATAGTATGCTACTTGTAGGTAGTTATAATAAATGAATTTCTGGCACTCTTCGTCTGTCATACACGAAGTTCATGTATTACATCTTTTAAATGAATGAAGCAAAGCTCGGACACGAAAACAAATACTTCGAGAAAATGAACTTCGAGAAAAAGTATATAGGTTTCACCAGAACAAATTTTCCGAAGCCACAACCGAGAGGAGATCTGTGATACAGAGCAAGAGTTGAACCGGTTAGAAAGCCTGAGTAGAGTAAAGATTAGACCCATAACCCTTCTCAAATTTGTTGGCCCGCAGTAGACACCCCTAACTTGAGTATCAATGTGAGCCCATGTATCAGCAGCACATCTAATTGGTGAAAGTTGTGTCCATGGAATAGCTTTCGGATCTCCTGGTAAACACCTAAATATGAACCGAAGATTAAAGTTTGAAAATGGTTACAAACTAGAGCTAACAATAAAAGTTTTCTTGAAAGCAACTTCTTACCTGTGGTTCCAGATGAAAAGAGAAAATTAGTCACGGAATCAATTGTCTGTAGACCGGAGAGTAGTAATTCTTTCTGCAAAGAGGAGAATAACGTTACACGGATATAGATATTGGTTTGAAACTACGTTGATTGAGAAACAAGATAACACTTTCATTGCATAACAAACTCTTAAGAGGCCCGATCAATATCGTTGGTATACTCATTACCTTGGAAGGTGATCAACACGAGAAAGAAAATCATGCCAGGATAGATCCTGTTCTCTTTACTGAATCCCTGCATTGCTTCCAATTGCTGAAGTAGCTAAATGTGTAGTGGCCTTTGCAACTCGATTGCAACATAAACAAGCAACATTCACAGACGTAACAATTAAACTAGCATTTATATGTATAATTAACACTTTGATATTTCAATCTCTGAAAGAGCAGAGAGATGTTAGCATCTATCATGGTGATAAGGAAGTAGTATCTACCTGTAGAAAGGAAACTTTCGACCTCCTCTTAGTGTGAAATCCTGAATACAAAGTGAAAGTAGAAGTCATTTCCTAGAAAAGTAGCTATAAAAACACACTACAAAATATGAAACCAGCAAGAAATGTAGTTAAAGCGTAAAGTTGCGAAAAACATATCATGAATTTTCAGCGCTTTCGAGGATACTGACATTTCATCAGTATACCTTAGCAAATAAAAAATTCCCAGCAGATAATAATCAGTGCGATCCAATTTACTTCCTTCGCTAGCCTTTAGTTTAAACTCAAAGTTTAACCCGTCACGGAACTCACCTGGGTAAAGACGCCCTTTGCTTTACACACGCAGACAGAGTTGCAATTTCGTTCACAGCAAAACTGTCCCCTATTGAGACAACAATCCTGCTAGTACGATTGCTAAACATATGATAACTGCATCGACTGTCATTAGCATGTCAATAGCAATTGCATCACCCTTTGAGAAGGTTGTATCCAGTGCATTAGCCACCAACCTGTCAATTATGTCGTAGACAACAGCAGCAAACGGATAAAAGCTCAAGGATATTATGCATACAAGAAAAAAAAAGCGCACTCTGCCAAAGATTGACTAAACAAGTGGAATGAAGATAAGTTTTAGAACAACTGACCAGTAGGCCTAGAATAATAAGAACACATTTCATTCAATTAAAATCATATGCATTAAGGGCAAAACTCATGGATACAAATGACTACTTACCTCGGGATTATGAACAGAAAATTCCTGGGTGAAGCTATAACTTATTATGGGATCCTTTCATGATGTTCCTAAAAGCTCTGAACCATACTGTTCCATCAATCGCACCTAGTTTGTATGTCTCAACTGGTATCTTACAAAAGAGAATGATAAGTGAATTTTATATTATATATTTAACCCTATTCTCAGTATATTTTGGTTAATATTTTGGAAGAATTTTGATACTTTAAATTGTATTTCTAATATAGGACTTTCAACTTCCTCTAGAGCAAAACGTGGACAAATGGACGAATTTTGGAGACATTCCAGCTGGAAGACGTTCATGAGTCACTTAGCTCGATCGTGTCAAAATATCAGATTTTTCCACCAAGCGGTTATTTTCTGGCAATAAAATAAAAGAGCGATGTGCAGTGCTGGAATAGTGACGTTTTGGGCTTGAATTGAGTTTTTGAAGCTCAAGATGACCTCGGATGGGTTCGTGGCCTTCTGGAGATGTGTTCAGAACGTCTTGATCTTTAAAACAAACTATCTTGGGCCAGATTTGGAGGAGATCTGAGGCTAAAACGTGGCTGGACAAGTACTTGGCAGATTCTCCTAGTTTAATTAGGGTTTTATTTTCTAAGATCTTTTATTATTTTTCTTAGTTTCCTAATTGGAATAAGAGACCTATGTTTTAGGGTTTATGGATGGCTTAGCAAATATATTGCTTGGCCGTCTACAGTTTTTGGGGGACGCTTATTATTATTCAACTTCAGAGACAACTTTGCTAGGGTTCTTGAAGATTTTCTACTTTAAGGTGTTTTCATTCATTTTCTTCTTAATAATATTTTCTATGATTTCAATTATGAATATACGTAACTAATTCCTCTTGCTAGGGCAAAGCCTTGAGCCTTAACATGAATATGTAATTTTTATTTAATTGCTTATGATTGATTGCATGCACACTTTGAATTATTGATCACTGTTTTAAACTATCTAATTGTCTTGATGACTGGCCACCATTGGGATGTTTAGACAAGTAATTGGATGCAATTTGGTCAGAATATCACTGGAGAATTGAGTATTGCTTCTTGTGATTGATAATTGTAATTTCATCTAAGGCGAATATCACGCTCTTAGAGGTTGCATGGTTCTTCAAAAGGTTTTCATAAAACTTAGTGAGTCTTGCATGTTTATATTTAATCTGAATATCACAGACGGATTGCATATTAGATATACGTTCTTACTTGAATATCACGAGGAGAATATATATTAGGAAAACCTAACTTTCAAAGTGGCATGTGTAAATCATGAGTAATTGGTAGAAATTCATAGAATTGCTAGGTGATGGTGGAACCTTAGTGCCTTTATAAATTGGTATTTAAAACTCTTTTCTTTTGTCATATTAGTTTTTAATTAAAATTCGTTTTTAATATTACCCAATTTCATAATCTCTTTTCTCAAGTCATTAATTCTAAGTAGTTGATTAGGAATTGTTTTTACATAAATTATCAAAATAGTGCTTGAGGAGAACGACCTTGCATGAACATCTATACTACAACATCCTTGTATTCTTGCAAGTATTTCATGTGATTTTGACCCTATTTGCATATATGTTAAAAATCCTATCAGAGAACAGGTTCATTTAGGATTCAGAACAAAATTAAAAAGTAGAAGTAAGAAGACATTCCATATCTGCAGAATTATTTCTCTAAGATCAACACATTTATTCTAAATGTGTCAAATTTAGTCATTCCATGTGCTATCAGTCATATTTCATTCGATAAAATGTATATATAAAGAAGCATCAAATATTTGAATTAATCAAAATTGATCTCTTATATGCTCGATGTTATAACACTTGGATTAATCCATTGACCAGTTTTATTCATTATAAATCTTGTACTCAACTTATAGATTTCTGATCCGTTCCTCACATGCCAAGTTAAAAAGAACAAAATCTATTCAACAATATAAAAAACAAAACAAGAATATCTGTAGCACTTGGAGGAGTTATGGGATTAACATCAAATTTTTCCATAAAGGGTAGGGAGTAAGCAAGCCACGTATTTTCCATTAAACAATAAAGAAATCAAATACGAAAAGTGGGAAAGTGGAGAAAATTGAATTACCGAGAAGGGAACCAGTAGAGGGGACGGCCTTTGGTGGTGGCATCCCAATTGGCATAGACTGAGTAGTAGATCAACTGGTGCACGTCATGAGTGTGTGATGCTTTCAGCAAGCTCTCAGCCACTATCTGCCGCCATATCTCTTTCGGGTGCATTGCTTTCGTGCTGGAGATTGTATATTTTTTAGGACTGTTTCGAAATCCTTGGCCTCTTCAACGGTTAGCCCTGCCTGAACCAAGTCCTCCACTCCAACTTCGCCTATTTTCTTCACCATCTCTCTCTCTCTCTCTCTCTCTCTCTCTCTCTCTCTCTCTCTATGGTTTTGCTTGTGTTTTAGGATTTGTGTGAATTTGTGTTTAAACTTTGAACATTCTGTGTTGTCTGCCTAATTGAAGGAGTAGGTGAGAGATGTGAAGGACAGTTAACCCACGTGATGATCATACAGCTCTCCCCCCCTCTACGGTTTTAAACTTTGAACATTCTGTCTTGTCTGCCTAATTGAAGGAGTTGGTGAGAGATGTGAAGGACAGTTAACCCACGTGATGATCACACAGTCATCGCTAGCTTCCTACTAAGGTAACTACTAAAAACTAGTAAATTAGTGGTTAATGAGACTTCTTGAATTGGGTACTGAGTTTTCTTAATGACTTTTTTTTAGTTACAATGGTCTCTGAAATTCACATCTCACTTCAGTCCTTGATAATGAAAATCGATAAAAAGTGGTCTTTGAGTTTGTCTACCGTAAATCATTTTGGTCTCGTGAAAAAATTGTCAATATTCTCGTTAAACCATCACATGAAGTACCAAGTTACCACCTTTGAAAGGGTATTTTTGTCAAACAACCCCTCCACTTAATGAGGATATTGACAATTTTTTTACAGAAGTACCAAAATGATTTGCAGTGTACAAATTCAAGGAGTACTTCTATCAACTTTCATTGTTGCTGACCAAAATGAGTAGTTATGTCAATCTTAGAAACCATTTTAGGTAGAAAGCATTTCTTTATTAATTTGATTATATTAATGATTGTCCATATGTGGTTTATCAAATATTTTTCTTTTTACAAATGATACGTACGGGAAGTGTACAGGGCCAGCCCTGAGAATTTGGGGGTCCTAAGCGAGCCTCTGAGGTGGGGCCCTAAAGTTCTCTAGCCTTCGACTCTTTGTACATTGATATGTATAAAAAAAAATTGCTAATTACATAAAAAGTCTATTTCTACGTTAAATATCATTAAAATTAACGTCAAAAAAAAAAGATATACAATTTTACTTAAATATTAGACCTTTCATGTTTTAGATGCAAATGTACTAAGTGTTTGCAAAGAGTCCAAGATTGAGATTGAAGAGCAATAAAACTTGATAATCAAGAGAGTAAAGAACAATAAAACTTGATTGACGAATATAATAAATTCATCAAGACAAAGTGGTTCTCTTGTGTTCTTTCTAAAATCAACATCAAACTTAGAATAATCTAGTTGAAAAATAAATTATTGAAAAACAAAATTTAAATTCAAAGTTTAAGCTACCTCAAATTACAATCTTTAAGACCATGTGATAGTTGATTTATAACTTTACATGTTGAAGAAGAATCCAAAATTTGCATCTGAACCTTTTTGTGCATTTGGAGGTTACCTTCAAAAGAAAAAGAAAAAAAATACATTTGGAGGGCACGGTGATTCGAACTACCCGCCCCAAAAGAAAAAGAAAGAGAACCAATTCCACCGCACTAGCAACATTTCATATACTTATTATATGTTATATACAGGAGACTGCCATCCCCAGGGCCGGCCTGGAAGTGTAAGTAGTGGATTGCCCTAACAGTTAAGACTTTCTTCTTAAATTTAGTACGTCTTAGATTTAAATTTTAAACCCTTCTTCCTCTCGTTAATGTAATAATTATCGTAGAATATCTTTTGCATTAGACAATAAAATAAACATAAAACTGGAAGCAGAAGTCGGACTCCTTGAAATTTTGCCAACTTATTTCTATGCGAGTGATTTTGTTTTTATAAAATCAAATGAAAATTATTGCATACACCTTTTCTTACAAAAATACGTAATGCTATTTAACATATGAAATTAATATTATTGTTGACACTCTAAACGTGTAGTGATTGCATGATATTGCAAAATAAAGTAAAAATTACGATGAATGCAAAAAGTAAACAAATCGGAAATCGTTTAACAGTTCTATTGCCGTTGTCATGATTTCATTAGTTAACTAAAAAACATATTCATCCATTATTAGATAATCCTTAAACGACTAAACAGATTTGAATTTAGCTATTTTTTTTTTTTTGTAGAGATGGTTTTTAAATGTTAGAAAATAAAAGGATTGGATTATCAAGTAATATTGTAGAATCTTAAAAATAAATTAAAGGAAATAAAAAAGAAGGTACAAAGGAGAATGTGGCTAGAATTCTTCAAAAGTTAAAACAAAAGAGTTTAGAACTTGAAGTGAGTTTATATTAGTCTTTACTTGAGGTGAAGCTGGCTTAAAGAATTTGGGAGAGCCGATACCTTTATTAACCATGTTCTAATCTCTACTAATTAATGAAATCCTCTTTGTCAATCAAAAGAGAGTGAAAAGACAAATTAGTCTTCTATCACAAAAAAAAAAAATTATGGGCAAAAATGTACTTTCACAGGTCCAAATTTTACTGTTTTTATTGAAGCCTCACCTACAAGTGATGTTAAAATACCTCCAATATTAAAATAAAAAATAAAATAAATATGAAATAAATAAAAAAACCAAACACTCCCCCCACGTTCTCTCTCCCTCCCTCTCTCCTCATTTTCTAAAAAATGTGTTCATACACACAAAGTGTGTAGGCAAATGTTAGTATAATTAAACAGAAGTTCATAATTTTGTCATCCAATTAATGGAGCCACATGGAAAGTAACCTCCAGTTTACATTTAGCTTCACCCCTGACGGCAACTATGATGGCAAAAAAATTCTAAAATGAAGCAGCCTATATAGTATAAAATAGATGAATGAATAGCTGAATTTGCAGTCAAAATCCAACGATTAAAACTATCAGTGTATACTGTGCTCCGTCCATGTTTGAAACTCAAACAGCCTATGTATATTCATAGCATTATTTTCCCATTATCTCTTAGAAAAAAGGAACATGTCATCCCACCGACGCATTTTCCTTACCCTCTACTTTTCTGAAATTTCAACCCACATAGCAATTAGCAAGAGTAAGACACAACAAAGCCTCTACCTCCAAAGCACAGCCACCAGTATTCGCTTTATGCTTGCGTGTGTGGTCCCCACCATTATCAAGATCACCAATTATAATTAAGATATATAATCCTTCGTACTTTGCTAGTTGCTTACTTGAATTTCAAAAGAATTTTCAGTTTTTCCACTTCAAATACTTGATCAAAATTAGTCCTTTTGGCAAGAAGAGAAAATGGCTTTGGTTGGAGAGGCTTTGCTCTCCGGTTCGATCCAGGTGTTGTGCAACAAGATTGCCTCCGGAGAGTTCATGGACTTCTTCCGGGCAAGAAGACTCAACCACTTGCTCGTGGACAGACTGAAGGTGACGTTGATGACCCTCCATGCAGTGCTCAATGATGCAGAGGGGAAGCAGATTGTCAATCCTGCCGTCGGAATGTGGCTTGACGAACTCAAACATACTGTGTTCGATGCCGAAGACTTGGTGGACGAGATCGATGCTGAAGCTTTGCGTTGCAAGGTGAACGATCAGACTAAAAAAACCCAGGTGTGGAACATCCTTTCTACCTCTCTTAATCCTTTTAATTATAAAGGCTTAAATGGTAGAATAGAAGATCTATTCAAAAAGTTGACACACCTTGCAAAACAAAAAGATATCCTTGGTCTTAGAGGAGGTGTTGGCCCTGGGGGTAGGGTTTCACAAAGACCTCCAACAACTTCTGTTATTGAGGACCGATTTTGTACCTATGGAAGGGATGGAGATAACGAAAAGTTAAAAACACTACTGCTACTATCTGACAATGGAAGTAGCTGTAATTTTTCTGTTGTCCCTATAGTCGGAATGGGCGGGGTTGGTAAGACAACTCTTGCGCAACTCCTTTACAATGATGAACAAGTTAAAGAGAATTTCGATACTAGTGTTTGGGTTTGTGTTTCCGAACAGTATGAGGCTTTGAGGGTGATTAAGACCCTTCTTGAGGAAATCACTAAAAAACCTTGTGATATTTTGGAGATGAATTTCCCTGAGGTTCAACTAAGGGAACAATTGAGGGAAAAGAGATTTTTACTTGTCCTGGATGACCTTTGGAATGAGAGCTATGCTGATTGGGACCGGCTACAAACTCTTCTCACGTATGGGGAAAAGGGAAGCAAGGTCGTTCTCAAGACAACTCATGGCTATGCTAACACTCGCATAGTGGCATGCCAGCATTTTGCCAACACTTCCGCCTACTATTTCAGAATAATTTAGATGTCAGCATGTCATAGCATCCTAAACCCATAACATTCCCATCGCATGCCAAACATTCAAAATGTTAGCAAAATGCATGCCATGACAAACTTAAATACAACCTACAACACTGAAAGTAAAATAAATAATGATATAAGAGAGTAATAATTAAATTGTTTAACTATTCCTTATCAAGTTTCAAGACCTATGATGCATGGACTCGGAAATGGACATGAGAATGCAACGCGACATGACAAGGGGATAAGTCAAATTAACAAGAATTGTTCTATGACTATAAGGGAATACGACACGATATGGAGATATAACATGGGAATACAAGGGGATGCCATCGTGTCCATACATGATGCATGCCTCGTAAATCCAAAGGAAACAACAATATTTGGATATTTTGGATTCGACACAATACCTTTGGAGGTTTAAACGGATGGTCACTCGGAAACGTATAATACTAAGGAAATATATGCCACCGTCGTAAGGTGTTCCTGGTGTCACGGACCGCATGTTAAAAACAAAGAAAATGCCCAAGACATCATATATCTAAGCCCATGAAGCCATGTCTTCATGGAAGCTTCTGGAATGTCCCGGAGAAATCAAGAACGTGGCGGAGCATTCAAGATAATCTAGGGCATTCCTGAACATTCCACACAAGTGTACATATTTAAGCCTCACCTAGAATAATCTAGATTAGGCAAGTTGTATCTAGAACTATGCTAGATATTTTTGGATGTAAGTAGGGGATTCTAGAACCCTCCATTGAGGAGGTGACTTAGGCCTATAAATAGGAGGTAAGGTCATTTGGCCAAACCATCCAAGAATTGTAAGCAATTGTAAAGCTCTCTTAACTTTCAATACAAAACTTCCTTTCTCCCATCTTCTAAGTGATCTTAGCATTCTCCAAGCTATCTTAGCTTTCTTTGTGATTCAATCCGGGGAAGCGAGGCTTCGAAGGCTTACTTAGCTTGTTCATCGAGGTATTCAAGTCTAAGTGCCGCACGGGCGGAAGGCTTAAAGAGTCATCCCGTGACAGCTGGTATCAGAGCCAAGCTCGTGAATCACTTGAAGGAAAGTAGGATATGGCAAGTGGAGAGATGGTGTCCGGAGTCTCCGACCTAAGGGAGCGTACTGCCGAGGTCCAAGACGTTGCCAAGAGCAAGCCAAAGTTAAAGGACTTGCAAGCATCGATGGAGACCATGGAAGAGCGACTCGAGAAGGTGGAACGAACCATACTCGAGTTCGATACTCGACTTGATGAGGACGTTGTCGACAAGGAGGAAATCCAAACCATGGTGGGACAATGGTAAGGATGAACTGCGTGGCTTGGTGGAAGGGCTACGAGATGAGCTCCTTGGCGCTCTCAACACCATGGCAGACAAGATGCGGAGGGAAGTCCAGGTTCACCTTGACAACATAGAGGCAAGGTTTGTGGCGCTTTCAAGAAGAGATAAAGGACACAAGGGAACTTAAGGGAGATGTGGCGTTTTGTAAAGAAGCAGTTGTGAAGCAATTCGTGCAAGGGCCGAGGGAAATCAAGGCGTTGGACTCCAAGGTAATCGACTCCTTTAAACCCAAATCCTATAATGGGAAGGAGGAAGCAAAGGAGCTCGACACATTCGTGTGGAACGTGGAGCGATACTTCAAGTACCTGAAGCTTGAAGATGACGAGTCCAAAATCTCGACGGCAACCATGTTCTTAGCCGACAATGCCCTTATGTGGTGGCGTCGTCGGAGCATGGAGATTGAGCAAGGTACGTTCTCCCTCACCACTTGGGATGAATTTAAGAAAGATCTTATGTTGCACTTCTATCCCCAAAATGCCAAGTATGAAGCCAAGGAGAAACTAAGGTGGCTCAAGCAAACGGGGAGCGTCAAAAGACTATGTCAACGCCTTCGTGAGCTTGTTATTCGAGGTGCCCAACATGTTAGAGGAAGACAAGCTCATGTACTTCATGAGTGGACTGCAAAATTGGGCAAAACTCGAACTACAAAGGAGGCACGTGCAAACATTGTCTGATGCCATTGCCGCCGCTGAATCCTTGATTGAGTTTAAATCAAGCCACCAAGGTGATTCCAAGTCCACGGGGAAGAGGGGTAACCATGAGAGAAGTGGGGGAGAACATAAGCCGAAGGACAAGGCCGAGACAAGCAAACCGAAGGAGAAGAAAGCCGATAAGCATGACAAAGGCAAGGGTAAGTCTTGGCAACCCACTTGTTACCTATGCGACGGCCCTCACATGATGCGAGATTGCCCACAAAAGAAGGCCCTTAAGGCCATGGCCTTCAAGGAGGACAAGGCCGAGGAGAGTAACGATGCAACGATGGGATGCATCCGTCTACTGAATGCCATCCAGACAACCCTCCCACAACCTAAGGCTCAAGTTGGGGGGAGGATCATTGTTCGTCGACGTCAAGACTGGTGACAAGACGACGCGTGTGTTGGTGGACACGGGAGCAACACACAACTTCATGACGTCGGAGGAAGCCACAAGACTTGGCCTCCGAGTCACCAAGGAGCCCGGTAGCGTGAAGACGGTAAATTCCGCTGCCACCCCCATTGTTGGAGTTGCGCGCAATGTACACGTAGACATTGGCACATGGAAGGGAACAATCGACTTCACCGTAGTCAAGATGGACGACTATGGCGTAGTCATTGGGTTAGAGTTCATGGACAAGGTACGAGCCTTTCCCATTCCATTCTACAATATCTTCTGTATCCTATCCGACGGAAGACAACCTTGCCTGGTGCCATTGGAAAGGCAAGCCAAGAAGTGTACCCAGCACTTGTCGGCAATCCAATTTGCCAAGTCTTGGAAGAAAGGCGAGGCCACATTTCTTGCAACCCTAATGTTGAATGAAGGGGAGGAGAAGCACGGGCCTTTGCCGAAACAAGTGGAAGACGTCCTTGTGGAGTTTTGCGGACGTGATGCCTAAGGAACTGCCAAAGAAGTTGCCACCAAGGAGAGAGGTCGACCATGCAATTGAGTTGGAGCCTGGTGCTAAGCCTCCCTCCAAATCACCTTATAGGATGTCGCCACCCGAGTTGGAGGAATTGAGGAAGCAACTCAACGAGCTGCTTGATGCTGGCTACATCCAACCCTCCAAGTCCCCATATGGTGCACCTGTCTTGTTCCAACGCAAGAAAGAAGGTAGCCTAAGGTTGTGCATCGACTATAGAGCATTGAACAAGATTACCATCAAGAACAAGTACCCACTTCCGTTGATCGCCGACTTATTTCGATCAACTTGGTGAAGCAAGGTACTTCACAAAATTAGATCTTCGATCGGGATACTACCAAGTGAGGATAGCCCCTGGAGACGAATCGAAGACGGCGATGGTGACCAGATATGGAGCGTTCGAGTATAAAGTCATGCCATTTTGGTCTAACCAATGCCCCCGCAACATTCTGCACATTGATGAATAAGGTATTCCATCCTTATCTTGACAAGTTTGTCGTGGTTTACATTGATGATATCGTTGTCTATAGCAAGACATTGGAGGAGCACGTCAAGCACTTGCGCATAGTGTTCAAGACCCTTCGGGAGCATGAACTCTATGCTCCTTTGCCAAAAAAAGAAGTAGAATTTCTTGGCCACAAGATAAAGGAGGGGAAACTTATGATGGAAAAGGGCAAGATCAAGGCCATTCAAGAGTGGGAACCGCCGACCAAGGTACCAACACTACGATCCTTTCTGGGGCTAGCCAACTACTATCGGAGATTCATAAAAGGGTATTCAGCTATAGCGACACCCTTAACAGACCTTCTTAAGAAAAAAACAAGGCATGGGAATGGACGGACCGGTGTCAAGAGGCCTTTGAGAGGTTGAAGAAGGCCCTAATGGAGGAGCCTGTACTAAGGTTGCCCGACCTTAGTAAGCCATTCGAGTTGCACACTGATGCTTCCGACTTTGCCATAGGAGGAGTGTTTGATGCAAGAGGGACATCCGATAGCCTATGAAAGTCGCAAGCTAAACAATGCCGAGAAGAGGTACACGACCCATGAAAAGGAGATGACCGCCATCGTCCATTGCCTTAGAGTTTGGAGGCATTACTTGCTTGGTACCCCATTCGTCATCAAGACGGACAACGTTGCCACTAGCTACTTTTTCAAACCCAACAAAAGCTCACACCTAAGCAAGCAAGGTGGCAAGAGTTCTTAGCGGAGTTTGATTACAAGCTAGAGTATAAGCAAGGAAAGGAGAACGTGGTGGCCGATGCTCTGAGTAGACGAGTAGAGTTAATGGCTACGGTACTCAAGCCGCAAAGCCATCTCTTGGGCCGTGTCCGAGAAGGTTTATCACATGACGTCCAAGCCAAGAACATTGTGGAGTTTGTCAAGGATGGGAAGACAAGAAGGTTTTGGCTTGAGGACGGCTTGCTATACACCAAGGGCAAGCGGATCTATGTCCCAAAGTGGGGAAGCTTAAGGAAAGAAATCCTTAAGGAGTGCCATGACTCAATGTGGGCAGGACATCCTGGCACTCACCGCACGTTGGCTTTTTGGTGAGCGATGCTTATTATTGGCCACAAATGCGAGATGATGTAGATTCATACGTGAAGACTTGTCTTGTGTGCCAACAAGACAAAGTGGAACAAAAGCAACCGGGAGGACTGTTGGAACCACTTCCCACCCCATCAAGACCATGGGAATGTTTAACCATGGATTTCATCACACATTTGCCCAAGTCTGATGGATGTGGATCTATCTTCGTCGTGGTCGATAGATTCACCAAGTATGCCACTTTCATACCCGCACCTGTGGAGTGCACAGCCGAAGTAGCTGCACGCTTGTTTTTAAAGCACGTGGTGAAGTATTGGGGAGTTCCGAGAAGCATAGTCAGTGATCGAGATGCTCGCTTCACGGGTAGATTTTGGAAGGAGCTCTTCAAACTACTTGGCTCGAAGTTAGACTTCTCCACAGCTTTTCATCCCCAAACTGATGGACAAACGGAGCGGGTTAATGCATTGTTGGAGACTTATTTGCGGCACTATGTTAGTGCCAATC